TCCCCAGGTCACTGGGCCTGGTAGAGAGAGCTCTCTAGCACCCCCAGTTGTTTTAGTCAGTTTGGTCACTGCTGCAACCAAAAGACCCAATGAGAACAATTTAGGAGGAGGAAAAGTTTATTTGGGGGCTCACAGTTTACAAGGTCTCAGTCCATAGATGGCTGACTCCGTTCCTCAGAGTCCAAGACAAGGCAGGATATCATGGAAGAAGAGTGTGGTGTAGGAAAGTAGCTGGAAACATGGTACCAGGAAGCAGAGAGAGACTCCACTCACCAGGTACAAAATATATACCTCAAAGGCAAGCCTCTATAACCTACATGTCCAGCCACACCTACTTTCCACAGTTACCACCCAGTTAATCAGTGGGTTAATGCATTGATTGGGTTAAGGCTCTGATAACCCAATCATTTCATCTCTAAACCACTCACATTGTTTCACACATGAGTTTTTTGGGGACACCTAATATCTACACCATAGTCAGTGTATGCTCTGATAGTTTGTAGCTTACATAGGCTGCAGTCAATGCTCAGGGGCGAGAGCCCTCACTCAAATCACTCCTCCCAGACAAGGCCTTCCTGTCTCCTCAGTGCAAAAGGTCACTCCGCCAACTTAACCAAATACTTCTATCTTGTTTCCCTATGATTTTTTCCCTTAGTACTTCTTTAATATACTACATATTTTAGTACCTTATTTTATGATATGTCGCTGTTCTCCAAAATGTAAGTACTATGAAAACAGGGATTTGCTCTTTTGATTGTGTTGTGTATCAGTTCCTAGAATTTTACCTGCACATAATTGACACTTGATATGAATGAATGGAAGGACAGAGTCAATCTGGGTGGAGGTGTAGCTAAGGAAGTGACAGCTGAGTGGCTTTCTGAAGTGGGAAATGACACTCAGGTGCATAGCAGGAAAAGAACATTTTGAGGACCTGTAAGTAGTAGAGGTTGGGGCTAGGATTCTTGTGGGGAGGGCTGTGTGAGGTGAGAGTGCACAGGCAGACTACAAAAAGTGAGGAGACCTGGCCTGTGATCTATGGAGTCATTAGGATGCAAAAAGAGAAGGCAGTCTGTGAACCCTTCACAAATCAGTTTCCTTCCTAAGAAGGAAATTTTGGCAACTGTGGGCCAAGCCACCTAAATGATCATGTCCCAGACCCCTGAGGCTCCCCATCGCCCTACTCCTCTCCACCAGTCAGAGCAATCTCATCTCTTCCTTTCCTTCCCAGTGCTCCATCACTGTCCTCTCCTGTGGAGCAGAGGCTAAGCAGGGCATCAGAGACCCCAGGATCGGGAGTCAGGAAAACTATGATGAGAGAGGCACAGAGACACGAAAGGGGAGGGAAGTAGAACCTGCTCTCAGTTGCTGAAGGGGGCTACTCAGCCATGAGGGAATAGTCAGTTTGTTAAGGAAAGAGGGGGCTACCAACATCAAGGAACCAACAATAAAACATCACTAAAACTAGTCAGTGGACTCAGAAATGTGGGGGTGGGGGACACTTTGGCCACATTGGGAAAAATGTGTTCATTTCTCACTAAAGGACAAGGACCATGGTAGCTCGAAATTGATCATAAGGGATTGGGGCAGGGTGGGAGGATCTTTCAGATAGCAAAAGGGAGATGACAAATGGTCCTTGGGTAAGAATTATGGTGGAGGGCAACACAGAGATATAGACCTCTGCCAGAAATGGCTGACAGAACCTATAATCCAGCAACTTGGGAGGCTGAGGCAGAAGGATCACAAATTTGAGGCCAGCTTCAGCAACTTAATGGGATGTCTCAAAAAAAAAAAAAAAGACTCAAGGTGTAGGTCAGTGGTGAAGTGCCCCTGGGTTCAATACTTAGTACAAAAAAAGAAGTGATTGGCAGAGTGCTCTTCAGTCCTAAGAATGCGCCTGCTGGCCTTGAGGTGTCTGAGGGCTTGGTTTCCCCTCAGCCCGTCACAGTGAGTTCAGTTTCAATTGAAGAAATAAACCAATGGACTCTCCCCTCTCTGTCATGCCTTTGGGAGTGTTCCTTTGTATGGACCTCACCTGAAAAGTGAAGACAGATCATGTGCTCACAGGTGGTTATACACACACATGCTGAGCACATTGTTGCTACTGAACATAATCCCCAAAGAGCAAATAGACCTGGTGATAAATAGAAATCCCAACACCGGCATTTGCCTACTATGCTTCCAGAGTCCTCCCAGGGACTCTGTGTACTCTACTCCCACCTCTGCTCAAAACCATCTCCCTAAGTTCACTCCAGATCCTGGTGTACTTTCATCACCTAGGGCTCAGAGCACTACTGCCTTCCTCCAGATCTTTGGCCCTGCCTTTTCGCTATGTCCACCTCACTATCATCTTCCCTCCCAAATCCCTGACCCCTCTGGGCACAGTGGCACACACCCATAATCGTAGTGACTCAGGAGGCTGAGACAAGGGGGTTGCAAATTTGAGGCCAGCCTTAGCAATTTAGCAAGGCCCCAGTACCAAAGGAAAAAAATTGTTAAAAATAATTTGTCAACTATTTTCTTCAACTTTTTTTCTTTTTTTTAATGGTACTGGGAATTGAACCTGGAGTTGTTTTAACAGAGACACATCCCCAGTCCTTTTAATTTAAAAAAAAAAAAATTGTAGTTGTAGATGGACAGAATGCCTTTTTTTGTTTTATTTATTTATTTTTATGTGGTGCTAAGGATAGAACCCAGTGTCTTGCACATGTTAGACATGCACTCTGCCACTGAGCTACAGCCCCAGCCCTTAATTTTTATTTTGAGACAGGGTCTTATTAAGATTGCTAAGGCTGACCTCAAACTTGGGATCCTCCTACCTTGATCTTTAGAGGTGCTAGGATTATAGGCCTACACCCCTTCCCTCAGCCAACTCAATTCTAACTTCTACATGTGAGCTCCTAAAAGCACACAGGATTATTCAATCTCTCGGCCAAATCCTACAACCCATCTCATAGTCCCCTGGGCAAACCTTGGGAGTGTGCCAAGGGGTAATTCTCAATGAGTGAAACCAGAAGATCTGCTCCTGTGACCCACCTTCTCTAAACTCAGTCTGGCTGGTGCACAGAGCTATTAGCAAACAAATAAATGAAAAGCAAAGAACAAGCAGCAGGGCATATTTCAAAATTTATTGAGGTAAAAGGACAAGGACACAGCATAGAAAACGTCATTAGCATTTTTTTTAGATCTAAACAGTTAAAACAGGAATAGGAAAGAAGTCACAGAAGCTGGCCACACATGAGATGGAGACCAGTCTTCCCGTCCAGGGATCCGTGGCACTGCTGAGGAGAGGCAGAGCCAGCTGAAGGGTTTCCACCTATGAACCCCAAGTCCCCAGAATCCAGGGCTTTCCTTGCCCTGATCGTACAGAGTAAAAGTTTCCACGTTGTGCTGAGGCAACAGTGGCAAGGTCTGGCAATGTGTCACATGGCAACATCACACTTCACTTTCTGCTGTGCCAGTGTCCACAATCAACACCACAGACCAAGAGAAAGTTAGTCCAGCCCAGCGGCTTGGAACTTCTATCTCAATCTCAGAAACACAGGTTGACTTGGCTTCTTGACAATAAATCACCATAAAGAGAGCTGGCACCCCATGTTACCATCCTGAGAGGGTCAGTGCCTCCATCCCTTGGGCCTTCCTTCCACAATCTCCAGATCCAAGGAAACATCCCTAGAGTGAGGAAAGGGCCACAGAAAGGGGAGGTTAATGAAGTGCTTTTTCTTTTTTTGTTTTCTTTTGGTGGTGGATAGAGATGGAACCCAGGATCTCACATATACTAGGCAAATGCTCTACACTAGCTACATCCTTATCCCTACCCCAAGTGTTTGGTCTCCAATGGCTAAAATGGTTACCCCATTTTTCTTTATGCTGACATCAATGAGAATGTACCCAATCCATTAGATATGAGCTGCCAGGTTTTTTTCACGCCAAATGAAAAAGGAACCTCAATACTAGAGAACAATCAAAAAGTCTATCCCTCCCTGCTATCACTACTGGCCTATACATCTGTCTCCTCGGTGGGACAGGAGCTTTTGCTCACCTCAACCTCTAAGTCTTCCTCATGCTGCTCCCTACTCCCTGGGGTATGTTCCTACTGCCCAGCACACTGTCTGCCTAGCCTTACACTTACAAAAGACTGCTTCTCTTTGAAAATTCTGTGGCCACAAACACGTATCATTTAGTATTACACTTATTCATTATACATCATTCATCCTGGTTCCTTTGAACACCTAAAGTATCTAAACCTTGATGCAGATGTAGTTTGGACTCTGATTACAGGAGGCTAAGCCATAATGTCTCCCATCACTGACTCTCATTCAGCGGCCCCCAGCATCCCTGAGATCAGAATATGTTGGCAGGAAAGAAGCGAGAGTGTGTGAAAGCACCAGCATTTGAGAGGGACAGACTGGACCCTCCAAACACGGGAAATGGCTTTCAGCAATTCCTCTCCCTGCAATATGGATGATCAGAGCACAGGCAGCCCGTGATCACTTTTGAATGCAGGTACACACACAGGCAGAGACAGGTCCAGGAAGAGAAGCAGATGCCAGTAGCCTATGGCATAGTACAGGGAAAATTCATGAAAACAGCCCAGCCAGCCATGCACAGGAACCAACCATGACCCTCCTTTTCTAGAGAAACCCCATACAAACTCCTTGCCCAGGAGAATCAAAGAGAAGTCACTTTGGACATAAACAGTGGAAAAATGTTAGGGTTGTAATGGTAAGAATCATGGGGTTTCAAGTACAACAAAAGTCAACTCTGTCACCACTTCATTTTTTCAAATAAAAAAAATTAGGTTCTGTTTGATGCAGAGATGCATGCCTGTAATCCTAGCAATTTGGAAGGCTGGGGCAAGGAGGATCCTAAGTTCAAGGCCAGCCTTAGCAACTTAGTAAGTCTCTATCTCAAAATTAAAAAGGGATGGAGGTATAGCACAGTGGTACAGTGCCTGAGACAGCGGCAGAAGGGATTCTCATGCCACCCATTTATCATTACAGTATGCTATTGCTGGTTCCCAGGTAGAGAGGGCAGATGTCCCAGAGACCTCTCATTCCACACGTGGGACCTTGGAGGCTTTCCCCTGCAGCAGCCACTGAAGGTATGTGAAGGGTCAGGTGTGATCTAGAATTGGTTGGTTGGGTGGTAGATTTGGGGACCCATGGTACCACCTTTATCTCACCTCTCAGCTCCCCTACATCATCACCCAGAGCCCCTGGGAACAGGGCTGTATCCGATACAAGAGACCAGAAAATGGACCAGAAATCTTACCTCAAGATTCCTGGGGTGTAGAATGTTCCTGACAATGACAACTCCCATGGTGCCTCTGTACACAGTGGACTCATCTGCAAGAGATAAGGAGCACTGATGGGCACCCAGGTGTCATTGCTCACAGTAGGGCATGGTAAGCACCAAGAAATGGTTTGGCACAGTAGCTACCAGACACTAAGCATCCTAAAAATGTTGGCAAGCACACCATTTCTTCACAAATAAGAGTTAACTCTAAAGAGGGAGGCAGTAGATGGTCAAAGGCAAGGCAATCAATACTTACTATGTAACCAGCAACAGGCTGAAATGAATGCCAAAGCAGGTTTGTGGGAGTGTGCTGGGCTGCCTGGCAGTGACTCTACTGGCTGCTGAAAGTAACTTCAACAACACCCATAGACTGTTCCCAAAAGAAGGGGCAGGAAATGAAAGCCCCAATATCAGTAGTAACACACACACTGCAGCTGCCAATGCCCTGGAGTCCAAGGTATGAGCAAAACTAAGAAGGAGTGTGGGAAAGCTGCCAGAAGCAGAAGGCCAGGGTAAGACCTTCCAAATACAGGACAGTTCTTTCCACATTTCCTCTGCCTGCACTACCAAAGACCATGACATGAACACCCCATGATCACTTTCGAATGCAGGGGCAGAAAAGGACTGAAGGCTTGCTATAAAAGGAGACTAAGGCAGAAGCCAGGAGCAGCCAGCCCAGCTGAGCACAAGGACCCAGCAATTGTTTCTAATACTACAAAAATTCCTTCATCATGACCCAGATAGGTAAGGCAAAGGGAAGACACCTCTAAAGAAAACCGATGGAGTTCTTAGGTTGTGAAAGACAGGGACTTGTGCTCCTCGAACAACTGGCTCACTGTATTCCTGCTTTCTGGGGAACTAAACTGAAGATAAGAGAAGGTCCCAAAGATAGGAGGCGGAAGTGAAGCAACTGAGATGTGGGTACAGATTAGCATGATACCAAAACCCTTCCTGCTGTTCATGTAAATGTTCTGCTGCCAATACACCAAAGAAGGGATCCCTGAAGATTCTGAACCCAAGCAGGCAGAGCAACAACCAGATGCATATCAAAAACCCCAGGAAGGATAAAACTGGGAGCCAGCAAGAATCCACTTTCATCTCACTTCCATCTGTTTCCCAGAATATGTGATGCCTGGGGAACCAAAGCCCCAGACCTCCAGGGGACAGACCTCATCTTTGGAGCACTCTCATCCAGCTGTTTTCTGGCAGGATGGAGACACTTCTCACAGGCCCCTCTACACTAAGGTACCACCTTTCCAATAAACAAGAAGTACCAGATGAGTCACCTAAATGTCACCTAGTCAAACTCATCCTTGTAAGCATATGGAGAGCTTCTAGCACAGTAACTAGCTGTTTAACAAATGTGGGCTGTTGTACTAATCTATGAACTACATCATTTCCTCATGGATAAGGAAAGAAGTTGACAATTCCACAGGGGCAAATAATCATCTTCCATAGAGAACTTTTCAGATCATTTTTGTGCAAACTCTGATAACACTGTAGAGGTTCTAGAAGGCTCCCTCATCACCTGGGACCCATCTTCTGCCAAAGAGACTCAAATGGATAAATTCTTGCTGTCTAAGTGTCAAGCTCAAATAACCCTAAGCACTATGCAGTTATCTCTTCCAACATAAGCTTCACCTGCCCCATCAAAAGAGTCCACAGGAAAAGCTGGATATGGTGCCATATGCCAGTAATTCCTGATGACTTGGGAGGCTTAGGCAGGAGGATGTCAAGTTTAAGGCAAGTCTGGACAACTTTGCAAGACCATGTCTCAAAATAAAAAATGAAAAGAGCCTGGTATATAGCTCAGTGTACAAGACCCTGGGTTTAATGCACAGTATTGAAAAAAAGTTCATGGGAAGACCAACTTCTGGTCAAAACGCCTAAATTATTCATTCACTCATCCACCCAATTACTGTGCATCTACATGTAGCCAGACATAAAGGCTCAAAAGCAAAACAAAAGCAGTCAAACCCTTCGCCCCCCAGAGCTTTGGCGGCTTCCCTACTTTACAGAAAGTAAAGCTCAGGAAAATGAGGAAACTTAGCCAGGATCTACCCAGGTCTTTGTGGTCCCCAAACTCAGCCATGTACCCCACCCCAATACCTACACAGGTATCTGCACACAGGCTTTGCCACACCGTTTTCAGAACGTGGTAGAGCTCCATCACCTTCCCCTCTACTGGTGTCCACAAAAGGCAATATAGGAGGCACCCCCCATTTCCAGGTGCTCATGAGTAGCAACACTTACCCAGGGACATCCTCCCCCTGGACACTGGGCGCCCACCGGGGAGTGCGGAGAGAAGGGGACACTGGGTATTGCAGAACCAGTGAAAACGTCCAAGGAAGAGCTGTCATCTGTCTGCAAGAGAGGCGCACAGCAGCGAGGCCTAGGCAGAAAAAAGCACGGGGAAAGGGCTTTCAGTGCGAAGCAGGGACGCGAGTCCAGACGCTGCCCCACTGGGCCCTTAGAGTGTCCTTAACTTAAACTTCAACCAGTCTTCAAAATGGGTTTTAGCTCTTGCTTTCAAAAGTTGTCGAGGGGAACGTTCATCGTTCCTACGACGTGACACAAAGATTGACCCTATGAGACGACGGACCAGAGGCTTCGGGTCTTTGAATGCCATGAGTTGGAGAACCGGGTGTGAAAAACCCCGCGGCAGGCTGGGGATGTGGCTCAAGCGGTAGCGCGCTCGCCTGGCATGCGCGGGGCGCTGGGTTCGATCCTCAGCACCACATAAAAATAAAAAAATAAAAGATGTTGTGACCACCGAAACCTAAAAAGTAAATATTAAAAACAAAAACAAAAAACCCGAGGCTCTGCGCGCCTTCCGCCCGGCTCCGGGCCCACCGGCGCGCCACTGGCCGGGCGCAGACCGACACCGAGCGCGCCTCTGACGTCGGCTCAGAGTCGGTCAGCTTGGGGCGGCCGAGGGAGCCTGCTGCCCACCGAGGGCCTCTTCCCGGGAGGCCCCCCGCCCTGCGCGCAGGATGGACCCCCTGCTTAGCGCTGACCCCGGCGGCTGCTAAGCCCCCCGGGCCTCGGTTTCCCGGGGTTGACAGGGACTCCTGGAGGCCACCTGGGGTCCTCGCACAGATGACGCCTGGAGCGCGCACCCTCAGGGACTCACTCGGAGCGACCGAAGGGAATGCACCCAGGTGCAGAAAAGTGCTGAGAAGCATCCCGCAGCAGTTACGCGACGCTCTCTACGCCCCGCAGTGCCGGCGGAACTGCGGCTGCGCGCGCGAGGGCAGCCTAGAGCGGCGGCTGAGCGAGTGGCCCTGCAGCGCCCCTGGCTGAGCGGAGCTGAGATTCAATAAGCCACTAAGACACTCATTCAAGCTTCCTTGCAACCAATCATTATTCCATTATTGCACTCACCGACCACGCATCTGCATATGCAGAAAATATTTATGGAACATCAGCTTCCTTATCCATCCAATTATTCATTTATACCATTGAGCCACCCATCCTCCCATCCACTTAAATAACTATACATATCTATGCATCCATCTATACATTCATTCATCTTTTCATCAATCAACTGATCTTGACTTCCATTCATCCAGAAAATTTACTGAACAACTACTTTTTATCAAGGACTGGACTAAGCATTGAAAATGAAACGAAGAAGACAGACTTTTTTTTTGGTTATATCCTAATAGGAATAATAAACAAGTTAGAAAATACAATAATTAAAAATCATAATGAGTGCCACAAAGGAAATGGGTAGAATGGTATAATATAATATCAGTGGTGACTTATTTAGCCTAGTGAACAGGAGGGCTTCTCTGAAGAAAGAATATTTAATCTAAAGTCTAGTGGAAAAGTAAGAACTAATCATGAAATGATAAGTAACTTCTATTTAGGAATGTACGAATGTGAAACTATTAAAGATGTAAAGATCATAGAAGTAGATGAACACTTCTTCTCTAGTGTATCTTTTGGTATAGTGCCTCCTGTCAATGCTATTAAAGAATACTAATATAATGTCAATCAATGACTAATATTTTTGAGCACAAGTATTTCAGGAATTTTAATTCATTTAATCAGCATACCACTAAGATCACTAAGACACTCATTCAAGCTTCCTTGCAACCAATCATTATTCCTTCCGTCCATTATTGCACTCACCGACCACGCATGGAACATTTGTTATGGACAAATGCTCCCCAAATTCATATGTTGAAGCTCTATACCCTAATATGATGGTATTAGGTGGTGAGATCTTTGGAAGGTGTTTAGGTTTAATCAGGTCATGCGGGTGGAGCCCTCATAAATAGGGTTAGTGTCCTTAGAAGAGGCTCTGAAGAGCTTGTTTCCCTCTTCGGTCATTTGAGAACACAGTGAGAAGACAGCCATCACTCTATAAACCAGGAAGTGGGCCCCCACAGGTCAGAATCTACTGTGCCTCCATCGCAGATTCCCAGCTTTCAGAATTTGGGGGAAATAAATTGTTATTGTCTATAAGCCACCCACTTTGTAGTATTTTGTTATAGCAGCCTAAAATGGGCAAAGATATCCATCCTACCTGGTGAACATTATTATTATTATTTGGTTGTTTTTGTTTTTATTGTTTGTCATTATTTATTTAAACTTTGGATTTTCATTTCCCAGAAAAGTGGAAGAAAGAGAGGTTTGATCCCATGGGAAGAGTTTTTGGGACTCACCCCTAAAAGTCTTTTCCTTTAAGGTCCTTTAGAGATCCTCCACTGCTTGTGTTCTACTGCAGGTTTGACAGCTGTCCAGGAGAAAAACTTCCAATTCTCCAATCCAGTCAAATATTATGTCTTGCCACCATCGTTTGAAGAAAGAAGAGAGACAAATGTCCTTGAACCTGACTTCAACGTCTTCAATAATATTTGGGATGGGCACTCTGGCATTTTCAAAATGGAGTTTCCCAAGTTTCAGGTTTCGGTGAAGTAACTCCTCCAAAGCCCCTTCTGCTATTCATGCTGGGATTTTTTTTTCTTTCTTTCTTTCTTTTACCAAATTGCCAGAGTCAGCAACCTCAGGCTGTGCAAAGACAATAAACATACTTTACAGTCCTCCACTACCAGCATAGACCTTCTCGACCCTGTCCAGGAAGAGCTCTCGGGCACAAGTTCGCCTACAGCACAGCAGCCCTGTCGCCTGGAGTCAACAACACACGATCGCGCCATCTGCTGTGAACGTCCAACGCCTGCAGCCGCTCTCGCGGAGCGTGCAGGCTACAGAGGAATGTCGCCACCCACCAGGCGCCGCGAGGACGTCGCCGGCCAGCCCCTCTGGTGATGCCACCATCCGGCACCCGAACATTATTATTATCATCCCATTTGCCAATGAGAAAATAAAAGCTCAGAAAGATTGATTAACTACTCCAAGGTCATGAAGTTAGTGTGTCCAGAACCATACATGGTCTAAGAGTTAATTCTACTTGCAAGCCGACATGTTAGCCTGTTTCTGTTTTATAGATACTGGCAGTGAACAGGAAATTCCAAAGTCAAAGTCTAAGGACTTTATTATTCATAGCAAAAGCAGAAGACAGAGCTTGATGTTCGCATCAGTTCCTCTTGCCTTACAAGTCCTATGGCGCAGCTGAGTGCCCATGATGGGTGCATGCATACACAGGCTGTTAGATGAGGACCACTGAGCTTTGGGGGATTCACCCTTGTTATGGGGAACAGAAGTAAGCCTGGTTTTAGTCTGCAAGGTGCATTTACCTTATCTTACAAGGTTGCACATTGCAAAACACAACCTTAAGAAACACAACCAGATAAACTCTAGTCATGGCTTTGCATTCAGGGCATGGCCAGCAAGGATATGCAGAGATGCTCAGGGCCTACAGCAGGTTGTCTCTCCTAAAAGTAGGTGTCAGAGTCAAAAACCAAACCCATAACATAATCCAAGAGCAATTTAATAGATGCAGAAAATGTATTTGATAATATTAAATTAATTAGTTAGTTAATTTCTTTCTTTTTTCTTTCGTTTCTTTTTTTTTTTTTGGTACCAGGGATTGAACCCAGGGGTGCTTAGCCATTGAGCCACATCCTCAGCCCTTTTTATGTTTCATTTAGAGAACAAGGTTGAGTTGCTTAGGGCCTCACTGAGTTACTGAGGCTGGCTTTGAACTTGCCATCCTTCTGTATCAGCCTCCTGAGCCGCTGGGATTAGAGGAGTGCTTCACCATACCAAGCCCTGATGCCCAAGCCCTGATGCCTGTTATTAGGTTTGGATCTTTTTTTTTAATATTTATTTTTAATTGTAGATGGACATAATATCTTTATTTTATTTTATGTGGGCTGAGGATCGAACCCAGGACCTCACACGTGCTAGGTGAGCACTCTACCGCTGAGCCACAACCCCAGCCCTAGGTTTGGATCTTAAAGACTCCCCCAAAGCTCTTGTGTTCAAGGCTTGATTCTCAATGCAGCAGTGTTCAGAGATGGGCCTCGGGGAAGTGATTAGATCGTGAGGGAACAAATTGATAGTGGATGGGTCCACAGATGGATCCATAGCTTCATGGGCTATTGGGCAGTGGTGGAAACACTGGGAGGTGGGGTTTATTGGGAAGAAGTGGGTCACTGGAGTGCCTATCCTTGAAGGGTATATTTTGTTCTTGATTTTCTCCTCTTGCCCCTCACCTCCTTCCTGGCCACCATAAGGTGAGCAGTTATGTACTACCTTGCCACAGAATCAATGGGAGTAAGTGACTATGGACTGAAACCTCTGAAACTGTCAGCCAAAATAAATCTATCCTCCTTCTAAGCTGATACTTTCAGGTCAAGTATTTTGTTACAGGAATGGATAGCTGACTAACATAACTGTCCCTCCTCCCTTTCAGGGGTTTCAGGCACCCTCCTGCAAAGCCCACCGTCACACAGGGCAGGCCCTGCTGGATGAGCTTTACCAGGCAGGAGCCAGGATCTGGCTAAGCATCCCAAGCTCAGGCCACAGGGCCCCTGAGAGGTGACATTTACACACTGAACACCTCCCAATACACCCTCAAGATAAGTTAGATAATGGACTACTGGTGTAGCCCAGCTGTACTATACCAGTGGGAGAGGATAGGTTGCCGAGAGTCCAAAGAAGAAACACAGAAATGGGATGTGAGACAGAAAGTTTATTGAAAAATGACTACAGGGAAGATCCAGTGGTGACATGCTAGACAGATACTTTGTCAGAAAGGTCCTGTGAAGCAGGCCAGATGGGTGCTTCGCCAGAAAGTTCAGGGTAGAGGGGCTGGACAGGTACACCTGCTTCACACAGTGCCTCTGGTGCCTTTATAAGACAATAGTCCCTCCATCCCCATAATGTTGTGTCCAGCAGGAGCCAGCTGAACACTGCCCTCTGGACCAGTCACCACAGGGAGGGGGCATTTATAGATTAGATTACTAGATTACAGAAGCAGTGACAGCATCAGCATCAGCTAGCCTGCTTTGTCCAATTGTATGACCACATTTCAAGGAACTTGGCCTGCATGCAAGAAAGTAGCTTTCTGCAGATAGCAGTAACTTACCCTAAATCCCATCAGACACAAGAGAAAGCCAGTGCCTTCGACATAATGTCTGCATCTGGACATTCTGGCCTGGACCTACTCCCATTATTCCCTTATGTGCCCTAGATTCTGAGGAGTGGAGATGGGTGCTTCAGGGATAGTGTTTCACTCTCCTTTTCTCTGAGGATGATACAGGGACCTCCAAGGTGACTGATTCCTCCCAGAGCTGCTGAAAGAGTGGAAACGACTGACTCTCAGAAAGTAACTTTGAGAAACGAGAATGTGTCAAAGGAGTGAAGGGAAGTATTTCCCAGAAAGTCTCCCCACTGCTTGCAAACCCTTCTCTTTTTCTAGTGGCCTTGCCCAGGTTTCACTATACCAGGTTTAATTATCTTCTGTTTGACTTCATGAATTGGAGAGAAAAGTGCTCAAGGGTCTTTATTAAAAGGTCTCACTATTTATGTGTTGAAATATGTAATAGAGGGTCACTCTGCTGCACTGAGGGGGGCTTACTAGGAAAATATCTTCTTTCCCTGTAGCCAAAGATGTTCCGAGTCATCAGCTCAGCCAATCTCCTCCAGCATCGCTGCTTCTCAACCACAGACTATGATGTGAATAGTGCTCCCAGAAATTGTGCAGTTCACAACCCGCACAAACGTATATAGTAGTCTATGGGGCAGATCAAGAGCAGCTGAATTGCCCTGGGCGACTGGGCTGGCCAAGGTGTCCATCAGGTTTTAGTCCCAGACTTCAGGAGACCAAGTTTATTGCTGCTGATACGTGCAGTAACAGAGGATCATAAACAAGCAGAGCAGGACAATGAATAGACCCAGCAAGATATTCAGCATGGTTTCCATTGTGGTGTGGGGAGAGGGTTAGGGCTCCTGTAGGCCCAATGTGGCTAGTTGCTGACTTCTCATTTAGACCCTAGGCAACACCTCCTTGGAACAATCTGTCCAGTCAGCCCCAACTCCATCTCCTCAAGGGAAGGGGCTGTAGGCCCTGAGGATCCCTCAGCCACTATAAGGTCACAGATTCCCAGATGGTAGAATTTTGCCTTCTCAGCTATAGCCAAATCCTTCATTAATGCGATGCAGGAGTTATTCTGATATGTAATCATTTACAAGTGTCTCTTTATACTTGCTGAACAGAAGTGTCTTTTTCCAGTCCCTACAAAAACATCAGGGTGGTCTCGTAACTCTTCTGACCATTATTGGGTAAGAACAAGTCTTGCAAGGGCTGGAGGTGTAACTCAGTGGTAAAGTACCTGCTCACTATACAATACACACACACACACACACACACACACACACTCACACGCACTCACACACATGCCTATCCAACTCTTTATTGCCTATCAAATCGTAATTTCAGGTGCTTCATCAGCTGAAACATCCATTTTGACATCCTTGTCACACCATGATTAACAAGCCTCGACTACTCTTCTTAGATGCTCAGCCTCCTTGTAGGCACTAGGAATGCAGAAATGGACCAGCCAAGATGACTTCCCTGGCATTATGGGGATGAGTAATGCAAAAGAAAATGTAGGTTTGAATCGTGGCTCTGTCCATCCCCAGCTTTCTGAGGGCAGTTGTGCCTTACTCTCCAGTCGAGAGCAAAGGGGCCTCAGTCTAATTAGGCAGGAGGGCAAGCCCCTCGGAGGGTGTCCAGGTTCAGAAGCAGGGGCAATGGGAAGGACATGTTCTCGGCTTCCTGCTTGCTTTTCTCTTCTAGCTCTAAGGGACTGACCAAAGCCAGAGTGTCTCACACCTGAGCTGATGAGAACAGGGGCCACAAGCCATGTGGAGCTCCCCTACCCTGAAAATACAGCCAATTTGAAATGCAATATGCTGTGAATGTGAACACACCACATTCCAAAGACTTCATACAAGAAGAAGAATGGTAGATATCTCATTTGTAATTTTAAACTATTGCTACATGCTGCCATAATATTTTAGTTACAGTATGGGGTTAAATAAAAATACATAATTAAAATTTATTTCAGTTAAAAAAATTTTAAAGGTGACTTAGAAAATGTAAAATTACATATGTAGCCTGCATTATATTTCTTCTGGACAGGGAGACCTTAAATTTGTCAAACAAAGCACGATTTCTCTGCCTCACGAAGAATACCACAGGGCTAGGGCTATTGCTCAGTGGTACAGCACCCTGGATTCAATCCCCAGGACCACAGAAAAAAAAAGAAACCCCACAGGGACCTCTGGCTTAATTCTCACAGCAGAGTTACAAGGGAGGAGCCATACCTACCCATTTTTCAGAATCAAAAACCAAGGCTGGTTACTAGTGAGGGGGTGCATGAAGAGTGGGAGCAAGAGGAGGAGGCAGGAGAGGACTGTGCAGCCGCAAGGATGCATCCTGAGCCCTTTGTCCAGTGTCCTCTCAGCCACAGCACCTCAAGGCTCCTCCCCACATGTCCAATATTCTCACAGTCTCAGAATCCCATGGACTTCTCCCAGGTATAGAATATGTGGTGTTCTCACACTCCATGACCCTCCTTTCCCTCGTGGTTGTGTAGGTCAATTCTGGATTTCTCCCCTGTGACAGTGAACTCAGAAATCTTCCTGGGAGGCCCCCTCCTCCTCAGCGCCAAGGGCAGCATTGCCCATGTCCAAGAGGCACACCTGGCCCAGGACACAGGCAGAATTCATTATTGTGAGAATTTGGGGGCATGGGCCCACTCCCAAGCCTGTCTTTGATAGGCTGTGAGAATCTGGTCAGGCCTCTACTGCTTCAAGGGCTTTCTCTGCCTGCCAATCCCATGTATTTTTAGGACGAAGTTTGGTAAAGAACTCATTCTCTGCCTGCCTCTCTGGACTCCTCTCCTTCTCACCGTCTGGTACAAAGAAGTACATGGGTAGAACTCATTCATTCTTTCTACTGTGGCAGCCACTGAACTAGTGCTAAAATACAGTGGTGAATCAGGCAGATGTACACTGGATAGGGAGTCAGAAAGAATTAGAAACTAAACACATTCGCAAACTTAACCTAGTAACAGAGCCTACTGAGGAAGGCTGACCATTCCTACAGATTAATGACAAATCAGTGAACAAGGAATAGCTTCAGAACAAACAGAAAGGCAAAGTATATAAGGGAAGATTTCTTCAAAACTTCCAGGCCACTTTGGAAAACGATCTCGATCCTTCCAATCAGAAGCGGACCTCCTCTCCGCCAGGGGCGCTATAAATCTGCGCGCCCGGGTTCCGCCCTGTGGAAGTGCCGCTCTAGGCCGCACGCCGCGCGCGTAACTCTATTTCCGCCGTCGCGGGCTAAGAAAAGGGAGGTCTTGTCGCGTGCTTGTTCTTTTTTGGCATCCCGCGCGCTCTCTCGCCATCTCTCGAAATCGCCAAGCATCCTGAAACTTCCCCAGCTATCTGCCCTGTCTCCGCCGCTTCCCGGCGCCAGGGCGTCGGGGTGAGTTTACTGCGGGGTATGTGGTCTGCGCCTCTCGCTCCATTAGAGGAAACCGAGGCTCCAAGGAGCGGAGAGGCCTCTGGGGGTCAGCGTCAGGCGGAGTCCGTCTCACACGGTGCGTGTGTAGCCCTATTACCCATGTTCCGGGAAAAGGCCCACGGAAGGCAGCGGCCTAGGCCGCCCCCAGCCTCGTGCGGAGTAGGGTTGCCTCGGGCCTTGAGCCTAGCAGAGGGTGCAGAGCTTCTGGGTTTTTCACACCCGGTCCTCGATCTCCGATTTGGCATTAGAAAGCCCGAAGCTCTTTGAGTCGTCTAGACAGGCTCAGTCTTTGTGCCACGTGGTAGGAACGTTGGCTCACGTTCCCCTCGGCCGCTTTTTAAGGCTAGACCTAAAACCCATTTTGGACACTGGTTGGTGGAGGTTTAAGTCCTTGCTGTGCACCGAAAGCCCTTTCCTGTGTTTTTTTTTCTGCCTAGGCCTCGCTGTTGAACGCCTCTCCTGCAGACATGAAAGCTCTCTCCTGGATGTTTCTTGCTGGTTCTGCAGCAGCCAGCGCCCTCTTCTCTCTGGATTCCCTCCGGGGCATTCAGTGTCCAGGGGGAGGATGTCCCCGGGTAAGTACTGCTATTCATGGGCACTAGAAACCAGGGGTGACTTCTGGATTGCCTTCTGTGGACACCAGCAGAGAGGAAGGTGGTAGAGCTCTGTAGTGTTCTGAGAACTGCGTGGCAAAGCCCCTGTGCGGAGTGAAGCCTGGGGTAAGGGAGGAGGCTGAATTTGAGGAGTAGAAAGTCAGATCTTGGCTAAGTTTCCTCATTTTCCTGAGCTTTACTTTCTGTAAAGTAGGGAAGCTGCCAAAGTTCCATGAGGGCAGAGAGCCTCTGACTGCCCTTGTTTTTGAGCCCTCAGGCCTGCCTAAATGCAGATAACTAATTTTGTGCTTTGAGTGATTAGTTTTAAGCATTTTGATGGAAAGTGATCTTTCTCTGTGCTTTTTTGATGGGGGTGGGTAGAATTGTTTAATTTTTTGCTCCATGGATCCTGGGCTTGAATGGGTTGCTTTCTCCTCCTTGGACTGTTTGTGTGAGCTAATATCCTAATGTGGGCTTCTCTTTGGGCTCACCTGCCATTTTCTGCCCCTGTATCTGAAAATGATTTGGGGTTGCCCGTACCTTTCTTTTATGGTGCAGGGAGAAGAATTGCTGAATGTGGATTGTCCACACTCAAGGGTTCACTGCTGTTCTTTTTTTGTACTGGGGCATGAACTGGAGTTTAACCCTTGAGCACATCCTCAGCCCTTATGTTTTATTTAGAGACGTGATCTCATTAAGTTGCTGAGACTGGTTTTGAACTTGAGATCCTCCTGCCTCAGATTCCTGAGCTGCTGATACAGGCATGCGTCACCACTCCTGACTTTTTAAAATGCTCCTTCTTGCCAATTTTAGATGCCTCTTTGCACCTGGCTTCTGGCATACCTGTGTTGTGTCTGAGGTGTCAACAGACACAACACAGGTATGGGTCCCCTTTTGCCCTCCACTTCTCAGAAGTGACAGGAAGACTGGTAGAAATTATAAGACTGCAAGCCAGAGACTGGGTATGAGTGGTACTGAATCGAAAATCTGGCAGTATTTCCACTGAGGCACGCTGACGACCAGAGCTGGTCACTGGAAATTAAGTTAAACACAGGTCTGTCCATCCCAACACACTGCTGCCTTCCTCCCAACATCTCACCTAGGGACTCCCAGACCCTAATCAAGTTCTGAAAGCACCTTCTCTGCAGCAGCTCTACAAAGGAGGAAGAAGGCCCAGACCTGTCCTGCTAGACAAGGGAAAAGAGCTCAGAGAAAAGGAAGCAATGTGACCTGGCATTCTCATTCCCTGCTCCAGACCACCTAAACACTGCCAGCCTCGAAGCCTGCAGAGAACATTCATTCCAGAGAGCTAGGCAGGGTACCACCTACCTAGAACTTCACAATCCCTGCTCTTGCAGGGGACAGATAGACATCTACCTACCTGTTTACCTCTCTCTCTCACAGCAATCACATGGCACTCCCTCAGGACACAAGAAGCCAGCACAGGATCAGCCCACTTGGCACTGCTTACAAAATGTCCAAGAAACCATGATATTCACCAAAAGGAAAACACCTGGGGAAGCACAGTCTCTGGTGGTTATGCACCAAAAGCTCTAGCATAGGCTCAAGTAACTGCCACTATCCCACTAAGGCTATGGCTTCTGGAAGGGAAAAAAGTGGACCCTCTGCACATGAGGACACCTTGAGACTTTTCCTATATTACCAAAGATCAATACACAGGCAGCCTGTAATCACTTTGAATGCATGGGAAGAAACAAAGGGCACAGGGCTTGCTAAAACTGGAGACCAGTGTCAAACACATGGAAAATGGCCTGGGCTGGGACAGCAGCACAGTAGAGCACAGTCCTAACAGCTGTCATCTTATCCTGCATGCATAAACTTAACCCGTACCAGCCAACAACAAGAGTCAAACAGAAGACTCTCCAAATAAGAAAGGTCCTTCTGTTGTGTAAGATAGGGATTATGTATCTGATATCAGTCAGAAGCAACTTCTGGGATTACTACTGCAAATGTGAGCATTTCCTTGTTGCTGGTCTCTTTCCAGTTGAGGTCATTTCCCAAGATGGTGGCCACGGCCTCCTTTCTCACCTTCTCTGCCCTTTTCTGCCCCTGTATTCGAAAGTGATCATGGGCTGCCTGTGCCCTGGTCATTGGTAGTGCAGGGAAAGGAACCGCTGAAAGCGTATCCCCGTGTTTGGAGGGTCCACTTCTGTCCTTGCCAAACCCTGGAGCTTTCCCACACCTCTGTCCCCGTTTTTGATGGTGGGATGCTGGCATCATCTAATTGAATGCATTGGCTCTTTTCCCTGGCCCAGGGCAGGTTGTTGTGTTACATGAGGGAAGAATGTGGACTTGACTCCCAGGAGTAGTGGGTTAGGTGTGGAGTCTTGACAGTGGCCATCACCTTCTGCCAGGAGTGTTCTCTGCCTGTATTCCCCCCATAGAGCTAATCAGACTGGATGGAAGTTGGTGCTTTGCTTGTCTCTTTACTCTGAGGTGATCCTGAGGGCAGTATCTTCCTCTGTATCTTGCTTTGCTCTGAATGCTAGTGTTCTGTCAGGGTAGGGCAAATGAAAAATGGGGAGAATGTCTACTGTAAGGGAGATGGGGTTCATTACCTCGTGGAGTGTTGGCAGGGAGGAGATGCTGAGATGCAACATGAGTATGGATGTGTAGGTTCGGGGTGCGAGTAGGTTTTTTTTTTTTCCCCCACTGGAAGAATTCTACATGTGGTCTACTTCTTTAGGTCCTGGCCTCTTGTGGCCTTGGGAAAGGTTCTTCCTCCAGCTGTGGGTAAGGTGGCAAAGATCCAGGGTGGGCAGAGCAGAATATAATTTGAGGGATTTATGGCAGCAGCCCATACTAACACAGCCCCCCTGCACCATCACCTCTTCCAGGTTGCCCAGATGCTGCTAGAGAAACACAGCGCACTCAACACCCTTTTGAACAGAGCCCTTAGTAACAGTTGGCACAAGAGATAACACTGGTTTAGACTAAGATCTCCTGCCCCTTTCCTAGAGGTAAGCTGCTTGTCTTGTTCCTATAATAAATCTTGGCTATTTAGGTGATGGTCATAAGTGTTTAGTCAACATTTATGTGCCAGTGTGTACAGAGGCTTGGCCATAGGTGTTTTCATACAAGAGAAGGTCAGACCACAGGTGCTGAGATAAGCATCTCTGGTTCATTCTCTGGAGAGTGACTTTCTGCACCCCTTAAAGTCATGTTCCTTTTCCCTGGTGCATGGGGTGGTGATGAAGGGGGAGGCAAGGATGATAAAGGATTGACCTTTATTGAGGAACCTGGATCACATTTGGCCCTTCACATGCCTTTGGAGGCTGTGCGGAACAGGTGGTTCTCGAGGTTGCAGAGCTCTGCAGCAGTGGCAAGTCATGGTGAGAAGTGGTAGAATTGGGCATCAGAGCCACTCACACCTGCTGCTGCTTTTTATTAAGGCACTGGCGATTGAACCATTTTGTCACTCAGCTATATCCCCAGCCCATTTTATTCTATCTCTAAATTTTCAGATGGGGCCTTGACAGATTGCCCAGATTGGCCTCAGAACTTTGAGTCCTCCTGCCAGCATCTCCAAAGTCACTGGGATTACAGGTCTGTGCCACCACCCCATCCATACCTGCTTCTTAAATCCTTTTTTGCCACCATGTCTGGCTAGTTTCTTTCTAGTTGTACTCGATGGTTAAGATTTATCATAGCAGCAGACAGGATGTACAGCCAAATGTTAAAGGAAAAAAGGACAAAGGTGGGGTCAGGAGGAGTCTGCAGGCTTTTTAATGCTGTTTCCATCCCTCATCCCTTACAGGGAACCCATTCTTCCCCAGCAGTGGGTAGGCCTCCCCATGTGTGCCGTGTTTCTGCTCAGAGAAGCCCAATAGAGACTTGAGCCCAGGGCTTGTACTGAGGTCTGGTCATGTGAACACCGTCTGCCTGGCATGCAGTAAAAGTCCAGGCTCCCAGGAGGAAAGTAAGTGGTGGGTCTAAACCACACTGTTTGCAGTCTGGGCTTGGTGAGCCACCCTGATCAGTTCACTGCTGAGATGGGAACATGCCGAGACCCAGGTTCCCAGATGCCAGCCAGGGGCTGGTCTGACCTATTTTTGAACCTCAGTTTCCTGGTATGGAAAACAAAGATGTAATAAATAGGTCTTTGGACATGTCCATGTGAGCCTGATCTCTGGCCCGTAGGTTTTTCCAGTGTTTTTTGTTGCAAGTATCTCCTCTGTTTCACCTTGGCAGTTTTATGGGGTTTTGTATGCTAGATGGCAGCTGCAGGATTTCTGTGCTCTTTGTTTTGGACTAGGCCCCTGGCATTAGTTTCCTGTCCTTGGCCCTTCCTTGATCTTTCTTTGGTCCTGCATTCGAAAGTGATCATGGGCTGCTTGTGCCCTGGTCATTGATAGTGCAGGGAGAAGAATGGCTGGAAGACATTTTCCCCGTGTTTGGAGGGTCCACCCATCCCTTCCAAACCCTGTAGTTTTCCCACACTCCAGTTTATCTTTTGCCAACCCTTATAGTTGTTTCTTGGTGCCTCATGATATCTGGCTGGGGATGTCATGTGTGGATTATATGTGGAAGGGTTGCCCAGAACAGAATCCAGTGTTGTGAGGTGGCGAGTGCAGGGTTGTGTGTGCCTAAGTTAGGGCTTTATTACATGTTGTCCTTTAATAGAGATTCCTAAGTGTGTACTAATAAGAGGAAGGAAAGGGTGAGTGCTCATAGTGGTAGGGTGTCCAGCTCAGTACACCACCTCACTTCCCAGTCTGCATGGCTCCTCTAGGTTTTGCCTCCTCCGTGTCCCTATGAAGTATACATTGGCATGACTCACTGGCCACTGTTCTGTGCTTATCATTCCTCTGCCATTTGTCCTGGCCTTTGAGGCTCATCTTAGAATGCCTGGTTCTCGGGCTGACCCTGGAGGAATGGGTGAAATTGTAAGATAAAGAATGAGCTGGGCTCAGTGGTGCATGCCTGTAATCCCAATGGCCGGGGAGGCTAAGACAGGAGAATCCCAAGTTCAAAGCCAGCCTTAGCAATGGTGAGGTGCTAAGCAACTCAATGATATTCTATCTCTAAATAAAATACAAAATGGGGCTAGGGATTTGGCTCAGTAGCAGTTCAGGCCCCAGTGCCCATCCCTCCAAAAAAAGAATGAAGAAAAGTATAAAAATTAAAAAAAAAAATGAGCTGAGTGTGGTAGTGCATGCCTGTAATCCCAGTGACTTGAGAGACTAAAGAAGGAGGATCACAAGTCGAGGCTAGCCTCAGCAACTTAGTGTGAAACTGTCTCAGAATCTGTCATGCTCAATAGTGGAGCGCTTGCCCAGCATGCCTAGCATGAGGCCAGAGAAGGGAAAAAATGAAGAAAGAAGTGGAGAGTGAAGAGAAATCTGTTTGTCACCTTTTAGCCCCTTCCATCCCCACTGAGATTTATTTTTATTTTGAAATGAGGGTCTTGCTGAATTGTTGAAGCTGATCTCAATCGGATCCTCCTGCCTTAGTTCCCAAGTTGCTGGAATTACAGGCTTGCACTAACCACCTGATGAGAGATGGGTTTTTTAATTCGTGGTGAACATCTTGGGTGATTGACTGATAAATGATGTATGTGGCTTCTTGTCCCTGCAGGATTGTCAGCTGTCCTCTGTGCCTAGCAGCCCCCTGTCATTAAGAGGAGGCTGAAAAAGAAAAAAAGGGAGGCTGGGCTATGATGCTCCTGAGGTATGGATCCTGGATGCTTCTCCAGAGAGAACAGTGATGTTCAGCTTCAAGACCAAGGCAAAGGCTGCTTCCTTTTGTTTGCTCCCTCACTGTGGCCTGCAGGGACATGCTCCCCAAACTCTCCTCTCCCATTCTGAGAAGCAGAAGAAGCTTTTGTTAAACACAGTAGGTATTATAGAGCTCCCCTTGGTTTCCAGGAGCTCTGCAAGGACCTATGTAGCCCTCATCCTTGCTTGGTTCTGCAGTAGCTTGTTAAAATGCTTTGGGAAGTCAGAAAGTTAGCTGGTGTTTTTTTCTGAACCTTGGTGGGATACTTTTTATGACTCAGTTCCAGACCTCCAGACCTAATGAACTCCACATTACTCCCAAACTTGGACTTCCATCTCATTGTTAGGCCAAAGCTTATGAAGCCCCATGTTAGAGTACCTTTGAGAACCAGGGGCAGCTGGTGCAGTTACAACCAGTAAACTTAGTTACTGTGTCCCTTTTCTGAGTCACTATGTCTCTCATCCTGGCCAGGGCCCTTTCCTCAGCTGCTGGCCCTGGCCTGTCTTTTTTTGCCCCTGTATTCGAAAGTGATCATGGGCTACCCGTGCCCTGGTCATTGATAGTGCAGGGAGAGGAATTGCTGAAAGCGTTTCCCCGTGTTTGGAGGGTCTGCTTTTATCCCTTTCAAACTCTGGAGCTTTTGTACATATATTGTCTCTCACTCTTTCTTACCTCCTGATACCTGGTGCTGAGGCCACTGCAGTGCACCTTCTAGCATGGTGTGGGCACTGGGGCCTTATAGAAAGGGAATCAAGGCAGGGCTCTGCCCCAGGGGACTTTGTTCATAGGCTGATTTTGCAATCACAGTAGAGGTCATTTCTCCTCTATCTTTGCCCCATGCTTCTTGTCCTCAGCCCCAGCTCTGGTCACTGGTCACTGTGGTCTTGCTCATCATACCCTTCTCATGTACTGGGAATTGAACCTAGGGGCAATTAATCACTGAGACATATCCCCAGCTTTTTTTTTTTAATTCTGAGATAGGGCCTCACTGAGTTGCTGAGGCTGGTTTTGAACTCAAGATTCTCCTTCCTCAGCCTCTTGAGTCGCTACTGGTGTTGGCCACCATGCTTGTTTGCTGTAAGCTTCTTCAGGGCAGTGGCTCTATGTCTCTATATGTCTTGTCACAATCTGCTTTGGGCCTGGAACTCTTGTCACTTTTGGACAAAAAGGAGGCAAGTTCCTATAAGGATAGAGTTCTTTCTGTTGAGCAGTCACAGGAAAATGCCCTTGGATAAAGCAGCCTGCCTGAGGTTGAGGCATTTGTCTCATTTTCTTCTCCCATTTGAGGAATTTCTTTGGTGATGAAACTTACCTTATTTTAGTCTACCCATAGACCTTGCCCTAAAGAGGGCCCATGGTCAGTCCATCAGGTATGGATTTTCCCACTGGTCTTCAATTAAGGGGGCAGGGACTACAGTAGTAATCAAGGATGGCAAAACACAATATGGACAGATAGGTGAACTCAACCCTTACACACCAGACGGTAGACACAGGCCCCCGTCACCTCTCTCCTTCCCCTGATCTGTTCCAATCACTGAGGTCTGTAACATGTTATAAAATAATAAAGTGGTTATCCTCGTAAAGCAGATTAACATCTGTCACACAAGACTTTTTTCCCTACTGGGGATTGAACCCAGAGGTGCTTAAGCACTGAGCCATATCCTAGCCACTGTGCCTGTCTGGGCTGGGATTATCTTTTTTTTAAGGTATGTGTATTGCAAGAGCAATTAAAATCTTAGAAAATGAATTTAACAAAACCTCTTAACATGGTATGATAGTCCTCACGCTAACTCAGTCTACATATCTAAATCATTTGATTTATACTGGCCCATTTCCCACTACCACCTGCTTTTTAGTCCACATATAAGTGAGAGCTTTTGGCTTATCTCACATAGCATAATGTCCTCTAAGTCCATCTGTGTAACAAATGGCAGGATCTCCTTTTTTTTAAGGCTGAATAATATTCTGTTCCCTTACTCTGTCTCAGTGTGTAGACATATATATCATTTTCTTGATCTCTTTGGGTTCATGTTGTTTCTGTGTCTTGGACATGGGGAAGGGTGCTGTGGTGAACATGGGCATTCCTCTGTCTTTATGAAGTGATTCATCTTCGGGTGTGTGCCCAGAGGGGGATAAGCAACAAATTGACATTGATAAGCAACAAATTGACAGTTGGTGCACAAATACATGGATATTACTCCTGTCAAGACACTGTAAAAACTGAGCTTCCAAGGTATTTTTTAACTCTTTATAAAACAAGAACCTGCTGATTGGGAGCCCCTCAGTGGTATCAGTTTGGACAGGAGAAGATGGTGCCAAACTTACTACTTTTCTGCTTCCTCAACTGTCTAGGTCTCATACCTGTAGAAGCAGAGACTATTGAAGGACATTCCCAGGCCAGGGAGTCCGTGGCCCTTGGGATGATTGGGATCTGGGTGTGCTGATGCTTCTCATTGTGGTTAAGTTAATGCCAGGGGCCCTGGAAGCCATTATCAGAAGCTGAGGGCAAATGAAACCCCAGACCACTATCTCACAGCCTTTTCTTTTAGATCTTGGTGGGTGCTGTTCATGGACACCAGAGGGGCAGAGAATTGAGAGTGATGTCATCCCATGAAGCTTCACTGCCAGCTGCTCCCTACTGTATGCTGAGATCATTCAGAAACCAGGGCCATGGACAGGAAAGCCCAGCTCCATCTGTCTGCCTGTACCTGCAGTCATGGTCTCTTAAGTTGAACAGGCTGGCCTTGAGTTTGCCATCCTCTTGCCTCAGCCTCCTGAGTCACTGGGGATTACAGGCATGTGCTGTGTTTCTTCCTGTCCCCCCATCCCCCATTCAATAAAAATTTCCTTTTTTTTTTCATGTTGATGGGCCTTGATTATTTTATTCATTTATTTATGTGCAGTGCTGAGAATTGAGCCCCGTGCCTCACACAATCTAGACAAGTGCTCTACCACTGAGCAACAAACCCTGTCCCCTCTGCCTGCCTTTTAAATTAGTAACAACCTAAGTAGGAGGCTGGATGTGGAGGCAGGGTATGTGAGATGTATAGTCAGGACTAGGAAGTGACTGACTGCTCACATTCAGGGATTGTGAGCTGAGGGCTGTGCTAGCTTTTTGTCACTATGAAAAAATACCTGGTGTGAACAAATTATGGGAGGAAAGATTGATTTTTGTCTCAACTGTCAGATTTTAGTCCGTGGTTGCTGGCTTCTGTTGCTTTGGACCTTAGATGAGGCAGGGTGTGATGAAGGTGTGGCTGAGGAAAACTGCTTAGCTCATGGCAGCAGCCCCAAACAGGATGGAGGCATAAGCGGGAAACAAATCATTCTAGTAACCTTCCTCCAACTAATCACTGGCTCCCCATGATGGCATCAAATTATTAATCCATCAGTGGGTTTCACTGATGAGGAACCATCCAGTCCCTTTCCAAAAGGGAGTTAACATTGCTGCCCTTGTTAACAAGTCTTCTAGCACATGAGTCTTTGGGGGACATGTCGTATCCAGGCCGTAAACACTTCAGGATAGTCAAGCCAGGAGTTTGAAAAGGTGGTTGGTATTAGGAAGACCACGGTGTCCATAAATTGAGGGCTTAGGCAGAAAGTGGGACCTCATTGCTGAAACCAAAAAAGTAGGTAAATGAACTAGTTGGCCAGCCTCCCATGGACATAAACTGCTTGGTGTTAGCGTGAGAAGCTGTGGAGTAAGGGTGTGAGTAGTGTGAACGTGGGGCAGCCACTATTGGAACAGGATGGGCAGGTGGAGGACAGATGTGGCTAGTGGGTAATTGCAGCAAAGAGATGATGCATTAACCAAGTCCTTGTATCGACTCATCCGCCTTTTACAGAGGGTCAGATCTGGGCATAGAGAAAACATCCTAAGGGTCAGGACAGAAGGATGGATTCTTCCCTGTAAAGATTTGTTAACATTTCTAGAAAACGTTAAAATGGCCTCAAATGAAAGGCCTAAATAATAAGATAAAGCTGGTCCAATAAGACCTCAGGGACAAACTTGATCAAAGATCATTAAAGCTGTGTCTTATTTTAGTGCTGGGGATTGAAAGCTGTGGCTTCCTGATGAGAAATCTTTGATCCATCCTGGAATAGACAAAACCAAGGGGGTGGGGAATATAGCTTAGTGCTTGCCTCATGCACAAGGCCCTGGGTTCAGTCCCCAGCACCACCAAAAAAAAAAAAAAAAAATTCTATCTCATTGTTAGGGACAATTGCATGTTGTCCATTTGCAGGAGCGTGAGAGTCTTGAAGGTTTGACATCCAACAGGAAGGATGGCTATGAACTGTTAACTGGTCATGCCTTAAAAAATCTTCCTGCCAGTGTTGCTTTTGGGTTTCAGCCACTTGCCTCTTTAAAACAGAAGTGATTGTTAGAAGTTTTCCCAATAAAAATCAGGCTTGCTTTCAGTGTCAACTCTTGGTGGTTTGTTCTTTTAGACCAGGGATTGGCAAACTGGCCTACAGGTCAAACCTGGCCCACTGCTCTTTTTTTGGTACCAGGGATTTAATCCAGGAGTGCTTAACCATTAAGCCAAATCCCCAACCTATTTTATGCATTTTGTGTAGAGACAGGGTCTCCCTGAGTTGTTAGGGCCTTGCCAAGTGCTAAAAGAGCCTTTGAAATCATGATCCTCCTGCTTCAAGCTCCCCAGCTGCTGGGATTACAGGCAGTGTACCACCACGCCTGGACCATTGCTTGTTCTTGTGACATTTATAGTGACACTCACTTCTTGTCTATGGGTGTTTTCTGCAATGGCAGAGGTAAGTTGGAACAGAGATGATATAGGCCTAAAATATTGACTATCTGTTGCTCTTTGCAGGAAAGTTTGCTGGGCTTTTGTTTTGGGCTGTAAGCTTAATGAAGGCAGAAACCATGTGTTTTTGTGTTCACTCTTCGACCTTCACCCCTCCCCAGCATCAAGTGCAGAGACAAGAGGCCAGTGTGGATAAATGATCAGAAAATTGAAATCGAGGTTTGTTGAACAAATGTGTGCCCTATCTAGAGGCGGGATCCCACCTCAGAGTATCACCCCGTAAGGAGCAAAATGAGGCTTTGAGCACATGTCCATCTAACTCTTGATCTCTTAACCACAACATCCAGTGACTCATACAACTTAGTTGCTCTGTGTTTAATTTGGGCTGCTTGGTGCCTGGCCACTGCTGGTGCTTTTTTCCTAAATGGAAGTGGATTCTAGTGTAGACTAGTATGGAGTCAGGTTGAGCTCCCCAGGGTAAAGCAGGGGATCCAAAGAAAACACCTGGGGCGGGGGAAGGAGAAAAAGGAGGAGGAAAGTTGGGAAGGTGTCTCCAGGTCAGATGTGTCTTCAGATGTCATAGGTTCTCTGGTGACAAGTGTCGGTAGGGCAGCAGGAGCTCATGGGAGAGAGTAGCTGCAGCCTTTGAGCCTCCACTGGGTCAAGGGCAGGTCCGGCTGTGATATGGTGACCCCTCTAGCCACAGTCTAATTGATGTTGGCCCCTAAGAGCAAGAAGTTCTAGAGAGAAGGCAAAAAGGACAGTCAAGAAAGGTCACTTGCTGAGCCAAACATGCACTTCTGGAAGAGAAGGTTGAGTGGAGTAGGCAAGTTCTTACATCAACCAGAAGCCTTAGGGACCTTCGCAACAAATTGTCCCTATTAGCTGCCTGTCCCCAGGAATTTATCTGCATCTCCCAAGTTACTGATTTCTGTCAGATACCCACAAATGTCACCTTCCTTCTCTAAAATTTGTGCCCCCAGAAAAATAAGTCACAATTGGCTGTTGCCTGTGATACTCAATTCCAGGAAAATGCTGTCCAGGATTTCCTTGGAATATATTGTGAGGGGCTGGGGTTGTGGCTCAGTGGCAAAGCGCTTGCCTAGCATGTGTGAGGCACTGGGTTCAATCCTTAGCACCGCATAAAAATAAATAAAGGCATGTTGCCCGTCTACAACTATAAAAACATTAAAAAAAAAAAAAGAATATATTGTGGCTGGGTGTAGTGGTGCATGCCTGTAATCCCAGCAGCTCAGAAGGCTGAGACAGGAGGATCGCAAGTTCAAGGCTAGCCTCAGCAATTTAGTGAGACCCTGTCTCAAATTAAAAAAAAAAAAAGCCCCGGAATATAGCGTAGTGGTAAAGTGCCTCTGGGTTAAATCTCAAGAACTCCCTCTGTCACCACCACCAAAAAACCCCACTGTGAACAGCAAAGACTGGCACACAGTACCTCTGGGCCTATGAAAGTGTGCTCTGGTTGTTTCTGCCTCTGCCCCTGCTAAGTTCCTTCCACCTAGAAGGCATGCTCTATTTTTCTCCACACCATCCCCTGCTTCTGTGGATGGGAAGGCTGGTCAGTGACTAAGGAAACCCACACACCACCAATGAGATTCTAGGCCTGTTCAGATGGCCCCTCATCAACCCAGAAGTGGCATCTCATCTGACCCTTTTCCCATGTTCCTGCTGTGCACAGCTAAAGTGCCCTGCAGTCACAGATGCTCAGTGACTGTCGGATTGTTGAGAAATGAGTTTTGGTACATGAAGTCAAGAGTCCAGATTACAGATGCTATTTATACTCCAACATTTGAAACAGATTATTATTTTTTCTTAAAAATTAGGTCCAGGTTGTATGTGGGGGTCAGGGCTTGCTTCCATCTCCACCAGCCCCTGAAGCAGCCTCCCAGCAGGGCTTAGAGCCCCCCCAGATCCCACTTCTCACCTTATGAATCTGGAGCTCCACACTGTTGAGGAAGATGTTCCTTGGAACAGGGAGTGGAAATCCCTTTTTGAGCTGGGCTGGAAGATAAACAGCGAGAGGCGATAGACAGCATGAGTCAGCTGCTGGCTACTGGGTCCAAAGCTGGTTTAGGGTGGGGACGTAGAGGCCTGGAAAATGCAGCCTCTTCAGGAGGGGATGGATGTGGACAGCTTCTTGGGCCTCTATCAACCCATTTGAGAGCCCAACCTCACCCCCACCTGAAGTGGCTAGGCCTGGGTGTGCAGTGTTCATGTCTAGGGACTCATCCCTGAGGGCCACATCCCTGAGGGCCACACTCTGCCTCTCCTTCTCTCAGATCATTGTTTTGCTCTTATCTCTTGGTCATAGATGTAGATGGTGAGGCCAACTGGAGAGGGAAGGGTGGGAGGTCTGCTAATTCTTAGGCAGCCGCTGGACAAGCACTGCCTCCAGCAAGGTCCCCTGGCTTGGGACCCAGGGATGCTAACTCCAGGTGTCCTGCTAGGGGTCGACTATAATGTTACTCCTTTGGCCTCACTCCTATGTCTTTTTTTTTTTTTTTAATTGGGAATTGCACCCAGAAGTGCTTTACCACTGAGATACATCCCCAGCCCTAATTTTTTTATTTTGAGATAGGGTCTAAGTGGCTGAGGTTGGCCTTGAACTTGCAATCCTCCTGACTTGACCTCCTGAGTTGCTGGGATTACAAGCGTGCATCACTGTACCTGGCTTAACTCCTGAGCTTTGAGACAGCTTATCCCTCATGTCTAGGGAGCTCCGCCTGATGTCTAAGTCCATGCTCTCTCCCAGCTCCTGTGGTTCCCTGAGCTCCCTTCTATAGGCACCTGTTACACATCTGCCTTCTTAACAAGGTGGGAACTATGAGGCATGGGTCGTGGATTGCCAGCATCCCAGATGGCACAGAAGAGAGGCTCAACTTGCTGAACGAATGAACCAGGAATCCTGTGGGGAGGGGAGAACCCAGCCCTTGTACTCTGGTGCAGGTAGTGGCAGCTCTTCTTACCATTGAGAGAGGGGTAGATGACCTCGCGTGCAAAGACGTTGAAGATGGTTTCCATCTCCTCCACCTGGAGCACAGAC